CCATCAGTAGTCCTTGGCTCTGGGTTGTTCTTCGTGCTTTCGGAGTCCCTGATCCTCTGCTCACGCTCATTAAGGACCTTCATGATGGTGAGCGGGCCCGGGTAAAACTACATGGCCGGGAGTCCGAGCCATTCCCTGTACACCTTGGGGTGCGACAGGTATGTCCGCTGGCTCCAACATTATTTAACATCTATTTCGACCACGTAGTTCGTGAAGACTTCAATAGCTGTACCGGGGGAATGTCTATTTGGTACAGATATAATGGGAGGCTGATCGATGCCCGGGTGCGGTCAAGGGATGGCTCCCTATTGGTTAGCCAGGTTGTGAATGCCGACGACCTGGTAATTGCAGAGTTGGAGGCGCTGCTGCTGAAACTGGAGCGTGCCACTAAGAGGTGGGGCCTTACCATCAGCAACACCAAAACTAAGCACCTGCCTGGGTATTTTGTACCATCGGACACTCCACCCCCACAACTCCCAATCGGTGATGGGGCAGTTGTGGAGAGAGTGGAGAGTTTCCCATACCTGGGCAGTGTGCTTATGACCGGCTCCGGTTTCACGGGCAGAGGTCTCACTCCGAATCAGTCGAGCGGCACTATCTTTTCATTGGTTGTGTAACGCTGTGTGGAAGCTACCTGGTCTGTCGCTCCGCACTAAGCTTCAGGTCTTCTCGGCCACAGTCATTCCCTCCCTTCTCTACACTTGCGAAACGTGGACCCCCCCTAATGGAACCATCTTCGCCGGTTAGAAACATTCAGGCTGGCCTGCCTACGATCAATCCTGGGTTTAACCAGGCTGGATTGTGTGAGGAGCTCACAAACTCTCGAAAGATCTGGACAAAGTCCCATCGGTAAGCACCTCCGGCAGGCAAGGCTGCATTGGCTGGGCCATGTAGCCCGCATGCCCAATCACCGCATGGCCAATCACCACATGCCCAAACAGCTTTTGTTCGACCAGATCGAGGGGGCTAAACGGGCGCGGCACGGGCTAGAGAAGAGATGGAGTGATGTGGTACAGGAGGATGTGGAGCTGAGTGGACTTGCTGATGACAGGTACCAGCGGTGTCAAAATCGGCCTCTGTGGAGGAGGCTCGTGAAGGACGCTACTGGGCAGTTGGAGGTAGTTGCCCTCCAACAACAACGGAGGGCGGAGGAGCGACGCTCACAACAACGAGCGGAGCGCCGGGTGGCTAAGGCACAGCAGGTTGGCACAGTAGGGGGCACAGGTGGTGCACCAGCCAGTTATCTCAGTCAGTCGACCCGTGGCACCTGGGTCTGCCCCATGACCTCCTGCCTGCGGGCGTTCGTCACTTCACGTGGCCTCAAGGTGTACATAGTCTGGCACAAGCATCGTGGTGACGTCACCGCCACTTAGTGGCGAATAGCGGTTGTTGTTGTTGGAGGTGGTGGAGGTGGTGGTGGAGGTGGTGGTGGAGGTGGTGGTGGTGGTGGTGATAATGGTGATGGTGGTGATGGTGATGATGCTGGTGATGATGATAGTGATGGTGATGATGGTGGTGATGGTGATGCCGGTGATGGTGATGTTGATGATGATGGTGGTGATGATGGTGGTGACGATGATGGTGGTGATGATGATGGTGCTAGTGATGGTGATGATGATGGTGGTGACGATGGTGAGGATGGAGGTGATGGTGATGATGGTGATGATGGCGATGATGGTGATGTTGATGATGGTGAGGATGGAGGTGATGGTGATGGTGGTAGTGATGGTGGTGGTGATGATGATGGTAGTAGTGATGGTGGGGATGGTGATGAGGATGGAGTTGATGATGTTTAGTGATGGTGATGCTGAGGATGGACGTGATGGTGGTGACGATGGTGAGGATAGAGGTGA